CTATATAATCACACTCTTTTATAATCACCAATTTTCTTAATACAAACTGTGTGATTATAGAGGAGGAAGACTGTATTATTATATTGAATTGTCTGATTTCCTTTTGTTAAATTGTTTATAATCTCTTCTATGTCATCTATAGTATTAACTTTTTGATTCCTATATTTTTTTTTATTTGACTAAAAAATAAATCGTATATAAATTTTGTATGCCTCGGAATTATAAAGTTTACAGTAATCTCATCATACCAGCCTTGCATTATTAACCAAGAATAAAAAAAAAGTATTAAATTATTTTTGTTTTGGCCGCCACAATTGTCACAAGTTATATGTAGTTTTTTTTTTCTAGTTAAAGCAAATTTTTGAAGAAAATGATATACCATATTAAGTGTAGTATTAGAACCTTTTGAAATACCTTCAGGAATTTCATTTTCACCTAGAGTTTCAATCCGGATAAATCTGTTATCCATTTACCCACATTGATATAACCAGATATCCATTCATTTATATCGGATATCCGAAATGGGTCAACCGAATCATCTGGAGTATTAGGGAGAATCATTCTAGTATTACTACTTTAAAAAATTTTATAGGCCAAACTGATTTCAAAAATCAGGTGTTATGCAGAAAAAACAAAAATAAAACAACTTAAAAAATCTTTTATAGTTCAACATTTTACCTATAAAATTGTCTTCAGTGCACTAACAAAAAGATTTTCTTATAGAGTTTTAACTTTAAAAAAACTTTTTAGCCTGTGTTAATAGCAAAACCTAACTCTAACTCACAGCAAAATTTTGTTTAGTGGAATTTTTTAAAGTGATGATGCTAGGGTCTTAATTAAAAACATCTTGACTTTGACTTTGACTTTCACTTTGACTTTCACTTTATTTTCACTTTGATTTTCACTTTGACTTTGACTTTCACTTTGACTTCCCTTTGATTTTCACTTTGACTTTTACTTTGATTTTCATTTCAACTTTCATTTTGACTTTCATTTTGATTTTCACTTTGATTTCCGTTTTGACTTTCTTTATAACTTTTGTTTTGTGACCTTCGTTTTAGTTTCGCTTTGATTTCGAGAATATTTACTGTATTGAATTCACAAAATAAAGTGTGTCATATTTTTGCAAGCAAAACAACTCATTTAAACAATAAAACATAATAATTCAAACCAAACATTACATTGCTAAAATTGTATATTCATTATTATTGTTTGATCAAATGACTTTATTGAAGAACATATGGGAATCTGTTCGCTATTTTTACATTCTATAGTCTAAGGTATTGCCCTATATTCAGAGTCAAAAACAATTATCATTTTTTCTGAATTTTTTTGTTATTTTTTCTGCTGTAAACCTAATTTTATTTGTCTCTAAGCTAACTATCTGTTGTTTTTGTTGCTCTTTAAATTTTCTTAAAGCCTTTTAATGTGATTCTTAATGCTTTTATCGAGTTTTTGCAAGCTTTGTTTCTTGTTTGTTTGTATCCAAATGATCATTGAAAAAAGTTATATTTCTATTTTCTATATATAATCTTTATACAGTAAAATAAATATTTAATAAAAAAACCTATTAATCTGCATTTAAAACTATTTTGTTTACAGAAATGCTACATAAAATCTTAGGAGTTCTACGAGAGCAGGAAATTTTTGTTAGACACTATATAATATAAAAAATTCAAAAATAAGATGCTTTTGGAAAATATATAACTCGATTAACCATCTTTCATTCTCTAACATAAGATCATCACATGATAAAAAAATGATCCTACGCCCAGTCAAGGAGGCGATCCAACAAATCATCCGACAACAGACTATGCATAAATTTTCATGCGAGTCATAGTAGTATGAAGAAAAGTCACCTACCCTCTACTATATATAAAAGAGCCCTTCGACACATCTGTTTGCCAGTAAACAAACGTCTCCTTTAGTCCGCCTTTTCTCGCCCTATGTTCTTATTTAACATACGACCAGCTTCGAGAGGGCAAACCATTGGCTGATGCTACTTCTTGCTTTCCATACCTGTCATGACAACATGTGCCGCAATATTGCTTGTTAATTTTCTAAGAGCATACCGTCATATTACTCAGAATTTAATTAATCTCAATGTAGCTTATATATTTAAAGTACAAATTGAATTTATTTCGGCACCCTTTACTAACTAGAATTTGGTCAATAACGTGAGAGGCACACCCATGTTTCGAAATCTTTACAATTACCTTGTCCTCAAAATGATCTCAAAGAGCGATGACCCAACGGCGCTAATGAGATCGCGTGTTTTTTCTCGATTGATGCCTAATTAATAATAAGCTAGCAGTAATGATGAGATTTGGAATGTGCCTAAATATTTTAATTATTGCATTCCTAAAATTATATTTGAGTCAGTATTGGATGTACAACGATACGGATGTTAAAGTATATTGAATTCTGTTGTTTATCGTTAATTTCAAGAAAGTTGTTCTAGAAATGTTCGAACATCACATTAAAATCATGTGCAATTCTATAGTTTTCACGTGAGGTAAATTGTATACAGCATCAATAAATTAATCGTTTTTGCAATACTGCGATAATTGCAATAACTAGAAAAGGTAAAGTACCAAAATATTGAACTGGATCCTTTCAAGCTAATGTTAATTTTTCAGAGATTGCTGCCAGCCTTGGCATTTGATGTCTTACGTAAAGCATGATCACATTAAGATGTATATAACGCTATTTTTATCAGCTGATTTTAAGCGTCTTATTTCTTTTGTCTAATCGCTATACGTACTAGTACTGGTAGCATGTAAATACGTACGTACCAGAACTTGTACTACTAATAGTGACAGTATTTTGATAAAGTCCTGAGAAAGGATATAGTCTTGAAGAAGAAATTATCATGTTCCATCAGATAATATTCGCTTAAATAAGACCGAAAATTAAAAGAGAGAAAAAAAAAGTTTTATCGTGCAATATAAAAATTATATTAAATAATACGTAATATTATATTGCGTATAGATTAAGCTCGAATTTTACATCATTTTTAAGCTCAAATTTAAGCTTGAAGATTAAACATTTACTACGTTCGAATTTTACATCATGTATATATTAAGCTCGAGTTCGGGATAACGTTTGCAGGTACGTACTAATCGGCTCATGGCTCAGATATTAGCTCCATAGTCACGAGCTGAACCGTTTTAAAAGCCGATTTTTTGTTAGCTGAGCCGTCAAAATGACTGACTTAGACATTTTTGCACTTGGCTTAGCCGAACCGTTTTGCATCTTTAGTAGTTCCTGATGCACCGTTATTTTCTCCGCCACCTGGCCCCAATAAGGATTCATCATCCTCGCCATCATCATTCTCTCCACCACCATCTGATTGTTCATGAATTTCAACTTCTCTTTCTGTTACACTTGGCCGCATCCTTAACCATTGCATTCTAGGACCGCTACGACTTTTTTCATTGACTTTAAATCCAAAGATCTTTGGCTCATAAATTTCTGTTGGAGTATTTTGAAGCAAATCTGGATACTGTTGAAAGAGAAGGTGAGGAAAGGTTGTACCAAAGAAAGCTCCTGAAAAGAAAATAATAGATTAATTATTGTTTATATTATAATTAATAATTGTCGCGGTTGATGTTGAGAATTAAACCTATTTTAATAAGAAATTGTAAAAAAAGTTTTTGGGACGCAGTTTTTAGTTTTTTTTTTTTTTCAAGTTAGGATTTAGGATTAGAATTACTAATAAAAGAGTTTATGTGGATTTTAGTAGGTTAAATAGACTCATTAGCTGATCTCAGCGTCAGCCGCGACAATAATTTAACGTACCATCAACGCTATGAAATCTTGAACTAGGCGGTGTATATAGATCAAGACAATTTGGACAAAACAACTTTACGGTCTCTAAACCTGGCATATCACTCCGCCCGCAAGGAATGACGGGACATGATTGACAATAATATCTAGGACAAGTGCCAAAATGCTTAGACTCATATTTATCCACCTAAAAATAATTATTTGTAAATCAGAAGTTAAAAATTTTAATAACAAGAGAATATACTAAGACGTAGATTTGCTAGACTTGCCATTTGCTGTAATCCTTGGCGCGTAATAATATAACGCTGATGTATAAGGCCATATAATAATTCTGCGGATGTTTCAACGATTGACACGTCTGGCACTTTTAAAGTTTCTTCCTCTATGAAAATTTAAGGAGGAAAATTCATTTTATACATTATTTTTCAATAGTTAAATATACATGCGCCATATTATCCAATAATAATTATTTTTTCTATTCCATTTCATTCAGCCGTACCTGGCTGTGCTTACCGGATTCAACATCCAAGATCATTTCAAGTGCTTCCTTATAAAAAGGAACCATTGAATTCAAGCCAGTTAAATTAAAATCATCCTCAATGAAATCTTCAGCGACTTCGGCAAAGTATTCGTGGCCAGGGAGACCACAGAACCACGAGATCCATGTGAGGGATTCTGTTCCAGTATCGTTAGATGTGTCGGTTTCTTTTGTTTTTTAAGGAAGAATAGATATGAATGAGTTATGAATTCTCGGTTGAAAAATCCGTATGTCCGAAACCCTTTAGCAAGATTATTTTTGTAATTATGCGGCGTCACTTCAGGGTATGCGCCATTGTATGCTTATATATGTTTCTTAAATAGTAGATCGGCCAATTGTCAGCCTAAGAATTTTGTTGTGAATTTTATTGAACGAATTTCTAGTCGCTAAAAGTAAAGATTCAATTGAATTGTTTATCACACTAACATTAAAGCCAACTACTATCTACTTTATTAAGTACACAGAACCCGACTAAGAAATTAATAAATGCGGTCATATATCAACACCCACTTATTAATTAAGCTTCAAAATAGTTGATTACTTTTAGCGATAACACTTTTTTTTTTTTTCTTACACAAGATAACTATCTAAGGAAAGGCTAAGGAAATAGAATCTATAACTTTTTTTTAAAAAAGTCAAAAACATGCTCACCGTAATACTCGCCCTGAAATTGCCCACCACTTTCTGGTATAAGTTCTTCTTCTTCCTCGTCTTCTTCTTCCTGTTGGATACTAGGATCGTTTGTGGAAGTACCAGCATTTACTTGAACAGCGGACGTCGAAGAGTTCCACATTTCGTTAAAAATTTTCGTATCCTTTGGTGGTTGGAACAGTGGTGTTGTACACTAGTATGCCAACACAGTGTGAAAAACTTGTCACTTAAAATTCTTTAGAAACCACATGAAAGCAAGGTGCTTTGCAATTCTTGCGTTCTAAACCTTGATTCCTTATGCGATGACGAGCTTCGAACGAAAGTAACACCGGTTATTGGTCCGTATTTGTAAAGCGTCGCACTTTTATATATTAGTGCTAGCAGCCAAACAGCAGCTACTAGCTAAAACCTCAGTAACTTTCTAGCAATTATGGGTTTTTAAGATTAAAAGTCAGCAGATATTCCCGTGATTTAGATACTATTAACCTGTAATCTGATTGGTCAGCTCATATTGCACTACGAACTGGGTCACATGTGTTGGCAATACAACATGCTACCCAGCCATCAAAAATTAACCCCGACGTCAAACGTCTTTTGTCAAAAAGTCGCTCATTAGAAACCACTTTCGTGCATTATAGAGTTCCGCAGATCGGATACTTCGGATAACAGATAACGGATATCTGATAATTATCCCGGATAAACACTTAACGGATTGGAACTCTAGTGCATTTAACAAGTTTTCCTTGAACAATTTTACTATCTACTTGCCTAAATTCGAACCCTAATCTAGGCGCTAACCCAACTTTAAGAATTTTTTGTGGGGGAGGGTGAAATTTTTTGATGGGGATACTGGGGAAGATGAGTTCAGCTGGGGGTGGTCTACCAACACAGCGAACACATGATCTTATATCACAGCTAGAGGTGCAGGCGAATCGTCCCAATGATGCCGTAACGTGCCGTAACTAAATAATTATAAAAAGTAACTTTTTATATAGTTATGGCACGCTACGGCATTATTGGAACGATTCGCCTGCACCTCTAATCACAGCACGACCAACATTATTGTCGATACAGTACGGCATGGCCTTCATTAGGTAAAGTACAGCTACAGGAGCGACCGTCGATGTTACACGATTGATCCTTCACCCGGCGTGCAACATATAAAAAAACTATTTTCCAATACCAGATCATTCCGCTAGTATATGTTATCCACCACCATTTTAT